CTATCCTTTCCACACCCTTGCCCTGGACTTTTCACAAGCTGTTTCAACTACATGAGAGCCTTCTATAAGGCTCTGGAATGCATAGCAGGATACAGAAGTGCAAAAGGCATGAACTTTGATAGCTGCAGTCAAAAGACCAGGGACCATAGTATCAGTTTTTTGCTGTGTAACTTTTGAGGAACTGAATACACAAACACATAATGGCCAGACCTTGTGTAAAAATAGAATTCTTCCCCACAACCTCTGCAGCAACCAGCCTGTGAAGCCAAACCACAGCCTCTGCAATAATTAGCCCAGAGTGGTCAGGATTCAGTTGTTGACTGCTTTGCTGATTTCTGCCCTCTGTTCCAACTCCGGACCAGAGAAAGCCAAATATATTCCCCCAACCAATCACAGAGGGAGCCCCGGCTCTAGTTAGCCTGCCTCCAGCTTCCCCATGCCAACATCCTCCAATTAGAGCACCACTGAAGCCTTTCCCCCTTTTCTCACTCCCTGGCCTACTTAGGAGTCTCTCTACCGAAGGTAAGTGACAGTGGCTAGCTCCCTGTTATGGCAAGCTCTGAATAAATAGCCTTTGCTTGTTCTCATTTGGTGGTCTTTGTTTTTTCCACACTTTGGATAACTCACTTAGCCCTATTTTTTTTTTTTTTTTTTTATTTGACAGAGAGAGACACAGCGAGAGAGGGAACACCAGCAGGGGGAGTGGGAGAAGGAGAAGCAGGCTTCCCTCTGAGCAGGGAGCCCGATGTGGGGCTCGATCCCAGAACCCTGGGATCATGACCTGAGCCGAAGGCAGACGCTTAACGACTGAGCCACCCAGGCGCCCCGCCCTATTTGTCTTATCTTATTTTTTTAAGATTTATTTATTTATTTAAAGAGAGAGAGCACATGCACATGTGAGTTGGGGGAGGGGCAGAAGGAGAGGGAGAGAAGCAGACTTCCCACTGAGTATGGAGTCCAATGGGGCTCCATCCCATTACCTCATGGCCCTGAGATCATGACCTGAGCCAAAATCAAGAGTTGGAGCCCCAACTGACTGAGCCACCCAGGCACCCCCTATTTTTGTTTGTAAACAGTATATAAGATGGTCTCACAAGATGGTAAGTATTGATTGCTATTGAGCGTTAAGATGCCATTTAAAAGAAAAACACTTTATTGAGATGTGATTGATATACAAAATGCCATACATATTGAATGTATACAACTTGATGAGCTTGTAGGTAAGTATACATCCATGAAAACAACCATCACCACACTCAATACCATGAACATATGCATCGCCTCCTAAAGTTTCCTTCTGTCTCCTATTTAAAAAAATTTTTTTGTGACAAGAACACAACATAAGATTTACCATCTTAGCAAATTTTTTAAATATACAATACCATATTGTTAACTACAGGCAAAAAAAAGAAAGAGACCCTTTGAAGTTTAGGCTGAGTATACTTCTCAAAGGACACATGAGAGAGGATGTTCCTTGTGTACACACTCTTTTTATCTCTAATGGTATGAAAAATGAGAAAAGAGCTTATGTACTCACATAGCTTTCCTCTCTTTTTAAGAAAACTCTATGCCACACCCATAACAAGTAGAAAAAACCCCTGAGAAAGCTGAAATTAAAGTTATCTCAAACTTAATATGCTTTCTCATAATAGTCTTCTGCATATAAATTTGAATTCACTCTAAAAAAAAAGATGCTTTGTAAAGTGTAATATGAAGGACAAACTTATCTCAACTGTAGGACTTGCCAGTCAGGGAGAGAAGCAGCTATGGGCAGACACATGGGCAAAGGTCATCTCCCTCCATAACAGCCTTCTTAGACTTGGTGAGAGGTGTTCTGTCCTCGGCCCTTCTCTGGCTGTGCCCCTTCCCACAGGATAAACAGATCTAAGGGGACATGCTCAGCCAGAACCTCTGTACCTCATTTAGGACTTGCTTTCAATGTTGGGATACCAGAATTCCCTGCTCAAATACCCTTGACCTGCTTATAATGCTCTTCCTAAGGTCCATCCCCTAAAAGTAGATCACGCAGCTGGTTGTTCACCCCGAGACCAAAGGGATGACCAGGGGATGGCTGTGTATGGGGGATATAGATGGAGTTTGGATGCGAGGATATCCATAAATGTGTCTGCGTGAAGCCCCTTGCAGAGGGAGCCAGATCTGGTGGTGGGACATGGAGGGAGCATGCTGTGGCTGTGGGCAGAGGGCTGGAGACCAGGCAGAGTCTTCCTTTAATATCACATTCTGGTGCAGAACACTTAGCATTCTGAGATTTCTAAATTTGAACCTGGCATTTTAGCTTGTTATGAAGGTATATTTGTCAAGGTAGGAAGAAGAAAATATTTAACATTTTGTTAGCTTGATTTTTAACTTCCAAATATTTAGAGAATCTTTCTCCAGGCCCCACGGATATTGAGGGTGGGCCTGCCTGTCTCCCCATTCAGCAGTTCAGTGGCCAGCTCTGAGCCAGGGCTCTTGGGGCGTGTTGATTGGTATGCATCTAGAAAAAGGAACTTTTATTTCTGTTTCTCTTTTCCCCACTCCCTACTTCTATGCGTCTTATCTCTCTGGGTAACCATTCTAACCTACTTAATGTATATTTTATGTTATTTTTTCTTTCTAAATGTGTTTTTTTTTCCTGGTTTGTATGCATGTAATTTTATATACATAAGTAATGTGTTGTAGATCTCGTACAGCCCTCGAGCTCTAGGCTCTATCGCTTGTAGCTAATCCTCTGCTTCTAACTGCTGCCAAGTCTCTGCTGCACCCTGTCCTTTTATGTACCCAGTGGTGGGTGTAAAGAGAGAGCTCATTGTTTTAATTTGCACTGCTCTGATTAGTAATTAGTTTAAGCATCTCTTCACATGCTTGGTGGCCCTTTGGGTTTTGTCATGTAAAGTGTTTGTTGTATATACCTTGCCCATTTTTTTCTGTTGATGTTTTTCTTCTTGTTGGTTTGCCCGCGTTTCTAATATAGGCTTGTTAGATATCGTCTTCCATTCTATTTCTATTAACTCCATCCCCTGTGTCCTTTGCTGAACAAATATCCTAATTTTTGATACAATGAAATTCACCAATTTATTTGGCTTTATGGTTTCTCACCTTCAGCTAACAAGTATTTTCCTAGTTTTTTTTTCTAACCAGCAGGCCTCTATAGTGGTAGTGATCTTATCTCGGGAGAAAGGTCAGGAAAAAATGGGTAGCCACTTGGGAATGGCTCTTTCAATATCCATTCTACTCTCCTTCTGGTCAGGTTAAAAACTAAAAATTACATACCCAGATGCTCTGGTAGCTGGAGCCCTGGGATGTGAATTAACTGTCATTGGAAAGGTGGTAGGAGGGGGTTCCCATATTTCATTTTGTCTCAGAATCACATGAGGGTTTATTAAAGCACAGATTGTGACTAATTCTATAGGCCTGGAGCCTACAGAGGGCCTGAAAATTTGCATTTCTGACAGGTTTCCAGGTGATGCTCATCCTAGGTTCTGCTATTCACGAGTGTGAGAGGCAATTTTCATGGGGGCAGTGGGGACAGGGACAGTAGGACCCCTAGGTCATGTCTACTGTGAAGTCACTCTGGGGGCCACCTCACTCCTTCTCCAGTCACTCAAAAATCTGTATGCAACTAGTTTCCTGTATTAGATTCCTTTCTGCTTAAGAAAACTAGTTATTTCTGTTTCCCATAATAAACCACAGCTTGATACAATAGCATACCAAAAATAGCTATAAATGACAAGAGGATATCCATAAATCCTTTGCCCTGTGTCAGGTGCTGAGTCTAAAACCCTTTTATCCTTGATATCATTATAAGCAAGGGGAGCAGGGGGAAATTTGTCCCATGGCCACTGGATTTACTGAGAGGCTGACAGATCTATCAATTATTTAAGCAGGACAAGAGGTTTTGCAGCAATGTGTAATCTAGGGTGACCCATCATCCTGCTTTGTCTGGGACTGAGAGATTTCCCGAGATGTAGGGCTTTCAGTGCTAATGCTGGGAAAGGGCCCATCAAACAGGGTCAAGTTGGTCACTCTGGTGTAATCTTTCCTTAGTCATCTTGAAGAAGTTGTCTACAAAGGGAAAGAGGCTAGGGCAGGTGATAAAAGGTGGGGATATGAGAAATTATTTTTTTGGAGGTATCTAAAACTGGAAAAGCATAATTAGGTCAAGCTTAAGAGGCTGTTCAAAAGGAGTGTCGGCCTAAAGGTGAAGGGATAATGTGTGAGAGCTGACTGTGGGCTCTGAGTTAGATTTGGATCCCAGTGTTGTTTGTTTGCCAGCTATGTGACCTTAGCAAGTTACTGAACCAAGTTTGCATATCTGTGAGATGGGGATAACAACAGTACCTACGTGTTGTGAGGCATTATTGAAATAATGCATATAAAGCATTTAGGGGAGTTGCATGGCTCAGAGTAAGCATCTCAAAATATGTGACTGGCTCTTACTATTTTTATTGTTACTACGAAATTACACAAAGGGATCATGTAGAGGTTCTTGGGCAAGAACAAGGAGAGAGGAGTGAAGAGAGGAGAAGAGGTCTGGATGAGCAAGGATCTGTGTCTCACTTCTTGGTGACTTTCACACTCACCTCTCCTTGCCTGTGTACTCCCCGGCACACACCCCCCCCCCCACACACACAAAAGAATTGGGTTGAGTAATATTTTCTATAGGGAAGGTAATAAAACAATGGATGACTTTCAAACTCAATGCTGAAAGTTTAAAATTTATGTTAAATTACAGTTAAGGTAGTAAATGTTTACCAAAGGGTTCAGGACAGAGAAAATGGATCTCAAGTGAAAGAAAACATGAACTTGAAATAATTTGATTTCAAACAGAAATGGGAGTCCAGAGAGGGAGGGAAGGAAGAGGGAAGAAGGGGAGGAGGCATTCATCCAACCATGTAGTCAAGCGCCTATTTCCCATCACGCTTGGATAAGCATTCAGGGGGCTTCCCTCTGGTATTAAAACAACTTAATTTTAAAATTGAGAAAGAATAACATTTACCTCAAAACACTTTTCTCCTCAGTGTTTTCTGCATGGTGGCCTTTACCTCCTTATTCCTCAAGCTGTAGATCAGGGGGTTCAGCATGGGGATCACTGTGGTGTAGAACACGGAGGCCATGTTCTCCTGGGCCAGGGAACTGGCCGTGGAGGGTTTTAAGTACATGAATGCGGTAGATCCATGGAACATCCCCACAGCCACAAGGTGGGAGCTGCAGGTGCTGAAGGCTTTGGACCTGCCCTCTGTGGAGCGGATGCGGAGGATGCTCGAGAGGATGAAGACGTAGGAAACAAGGACTGTTAAACTGGTGACTATGATGTTGAATCCAGCCAAAAAGAAGACTGTCATTTCAATATCATAGGTGCTAGAGCAGGAAAGCTTCATGAGAGGGAGGATGTCACAGAAGTAATGACTGATGAAGAGCTCACAATAGGACAGTTTTAACATGAGGCCAGTCTCTATTTTTGAGCCAATGAGCCCCATGGCATAGACCACAGCCACCAGCAGGGAGCCGACTTGATGACACATGATGACATTGTAGAGCAAAGGGCTGCAGATGGCGACATAGCAGTCATAGGCCATCACTGTCAGCATGTAACACTCGGCAATGACAAACACAAGGAAGAAGTAGAGCTGTGACATGCACCCTGCATAGGAGATGGTTTTCTTCTCTGACACAAAATTCACCAACATTTTCGGGGTAATGACAGAGGAGTAGCAGAGATCCACAAGTGACAGATTGCTGAGGAAGTAGTACATGGGGGTGTGAAGCTGAGGATTCAGACAAATCAGGTTCCCTATCATGGTGACCAAGTAGATCCCAAGGAAGAGGAAGAAAAGGGGGAGCTGGAGCTCTGGCTGATTTGTCAATCCCCTGAGAATGAAGTTGGTCACTGTAGAGTGATTTTCTGCAGCCATTCTCCTGTGTTTGGGAGCCCTGTGGGGATGGAAGAGAAGAGCCCATGAAAGGCTGCATCTTGGACTTTTGGGTGAAGCTAGTTTTGAGCACTTGGGGTCAGCTGGGTGATCCTGGGCTCTTTCCTGATGAATCCTCCCCTCATCTTGCTGTTTGCAGGGAGAAAGACCAGCCTCTGGGTGTTTCCAAGATCATGAGGGTGAGAAGGAAAAGGGAGCAAGATCTGGGACTTTTACCACTTTTATGTTTCTCAAATATCCTACAGCAATGGTTCTTAAAGTGTATTCCCTGGACCAGCAGCGTTAGCATCATGTTAGAGATACAAACTCAGGCCTCACCCAGGACCTACCAAATCAGAAACCCTTGGGGGTGAGGCCAACAATCTGGGTTTAACACTCTCTCCTGTGATGCTGATGCATGCTCAGGTTTGAAAACCTCTATCCTATAGGTAACAAGCAGCATATTTCATATTTTGTACTCGGAGATGTATTTTGCTTCAGAAATAAAATTTCCTTGTCATCCGTGCAATTCCCAAACAGTCTCTGAGTGTGAATGCACAAATACCCATCTCAAATCCACACAGTGTCAGGGTAGTATGGTAGTTACAACTGTATCACTGAGTGACAAGTCAATGTCTGTATCTGAAAGATGAAGATGAGAACAAAAAGCCCCAATAATTAGACAGTAACGGCTGACAGGCAAGATGGGTGCCCTCATGTCAAGGGAGAAAAATAAAATTTTAGTCAGGCCGAATGACCACAGGGAACAAAACCAGTCAGCACAGCCTGAGATGACAAGCTTGCACAAAATTCAGCAACATTTTCAAAAAAAACCCTTCGCAACGCATCCTGTCATGCTCTTCAGTGGCTGCCATATCCTGAAACGGTTACCAGAAATAGCGAGCTGTATATCCTGCTTGCCACTCTGCTCCTGAAACTTGCAGCTTGGGACCTGAGTCTGACCAATGTCCAAAAGGGCACAGAGCCTGCCCTAGACTTTTGCCTATTTAAACCCCGAGCCTGAACTTCCCTGACAGAGCTACTTTGGTTTGTAGCCCAAGGCCATGTCTCCCTGGTTTGCAAACTGCAGGGCAATGAAGCTTTTCCTTGCCTCTGAGGAGTCCTTGCATTCCAAGATGTTTTTTGTTGACAAAGAAATCAGTCCAGGGCCCGATGGCTTACCAGGGGAAATTTACCAAACATTTAAAGAAGAACTAATACCTATTCTTCTGAAGCTGTTTCAAAAAATAGAAATGGAAGGAAAACTTCCAAACTCGTTCTATGAGGCCAGCATTACCTTGATCCCAAAACCAGTGGGATCAAGGCCAGCATTACCTTGATCCCAAAAACAAAGACCCCAGACAACATCCAAAAAGGAGAATTACAGACCAATAGCCCTGATGAACACAGATGCCAAAATTCTCACCAAGATACTAGCCAATAGGATTCAATGGTACATTAAAAGGATTATTTACCATGACCAAGTGGGATTTATTCCTGGGCTGCAAGGGTGGTTCAACATCCACAAATCAATCAGTGTGATACACTACATTAATAAAAGAAAAGACAAGAACCATATGATCCTCTCAATAGATACAGAAAAAACATTTGACTAAATACAGCATCCTTTCTTCATTAAAACTCTCCATAGTATAGGGATAGAGAGAACATACCTCAATATCATAAAAGCCATCTATGAAAAGCCCGCAGCGAATATCATTTGCAATGGGGAAAAACTGAGAGCTTTTCTCCTAAGGTCAGAGAAACATGACAGGGATGCCCACTCTCACCACTGTTGTTCAACACAGTACTAGAAGTCCTAGCCTCAGCAATCAGACAACAAAGAGAAATAAAAGGCATCTGAGTAGGCAAAGAAGAAGTCAAACTCTCACTCCTCACAGATGACATGATACTCTATGTGGAAAACCCAAAAGACTCCACCCCAAAATTGCTAGAACTCATACAGGAATTCAGCAAAGTGGCAGGATATAAAATCAATGCACAGAAATCAGTGGCATTTCTATACACTAACAATGAGACAGAAGAAATGGAAATTAAGGAATGAATTCCATTTACAATAGCACCCAAAACCATAAGATACCTAGGAATAAACCTAACCAAAGAGGTAAAGGATCTGTACTCTAAAAACTACAGAACACTTACTAAGATGTTGAGGAAGACACAAAGAAATGGAAAAACATTCCATGCTCATGGACTGGAAGAATAAATATTGTTAAAATGTCTATGCTACCCAGAGCAATCTATACATTCAATGCAATCCCTATCAAAATACCATCGACATTCTTCACAGAGCTGGAACAAATAATCCTAAAATTTGTATGGAACCAGAAAAGAACCCGAATAGCCAGAGGAATGTTGAAAAAGAAAACCAAAGCTGCACAATGCTGGACTTCAAGCTACATTACAAAGCTGTAATCATCAAGACAGTATGGTACTGACACAAAAACAGACACAGATAAATAGAAAACAATAGAGAACCCAGAATAGAGAACCCGGAACTCAATAATCAACTATTCTTTGACAAAGCAGGAAAGAATATCTAATGGAAAAAGGACAGTCTCTTCAGCAAATGGTGCTGGGAAAATTGGACAGCCACATGTAAAAGAATGAAACTGGACCATTTTCTTACACCAGACACAAAGATAAACTCAAAATGGATGAAAGACTTAAATGTGAGACAGGAGTCTATTGAAATCCTTGAGGAGAATACCTCTTCAACCTTGGCCACAGCAACTTCTTGCTAGACACGTCTCCAAAGGCAAGGGAAACAAAAGCAAAAATGAACTTTTGGGACCTCATCAGTATAAAAAGCTTTTGCACAGCAAAGGAAACAGTCAACAAAACTAAAAGGCAACCTATGGAATGGGAGAAGATATTTGCAAATGACATATCAGATAAAGGGCTAGTATCCAAGATCTACAAAGAACTTATCAAACTCAACACCCAAAGAACAAATAATCCAGTCAAGAAATGGGCAGAAGAGATGAATAGACATTTCTTCGGAGAAGACATCCAAATGGCCAACAGACACGTGAAAAAATGCTCCACATCACTTGGCATCAGGGAAATACAAATCAAAACCACCATGAGATATCACCTCACACCAGTTAGAATGGATAAAATTAACAAGACAGGAAACAACGTGTTGGAGAGGATGTGGAGAAAGGGGAACTCTCTTACAGTGTTGGTGGGCATGCAAGCTGGTACAGCCACTTTGGAAAACAGTATGGATGGTCCTCAAGACATTAAAAATAGAGCTACCCTAAAACCCAGCAATTGCATTACTAGGTATTTACCGCAAAGATACAAATGTAGTGATCTGAAGGGTCACCTACACCCCAATGTTTATAGCAGCAATGTCCAGAATAGAAAACCGTGGAAAGAGCTGAGATATCCATCGACAGGTGAATGGATAAAGAAGATGTGGTATATAAATAAATAAATAAATAAATAAATAAATAATGGAATATTACTCAGCCATAAGAAAGGATGAATACTTAACATTTACGTCAATGTGGATGGAACTGGAGGGTATTATGCTGAGTGAAATAAGTCAATCAGAGAAAAACAACTATCATGTGGTTTCACTCATATGTGGACTATAAGGAATAGTGCAGAGGATCATAGGGGAAGGGAGGGAAAACTGGATGGGAGGTCATCAGAGAGGGAGAAAAACCATGAGAGACTCTTAACTATAGGAAACAAACTGAGGGTTGCTGGAGGGGAGGTGGGTGGGGGGCTGGGGTAATTGGGTGGTGAGCATTAAGGAGGGCATGTGATGTGATGAACACTACATCTGAAACTAATGATGTACTATATGTTGGCTAATTGAATTTAAATAAAAAAAAGAAATCAGTAATATCAATTTCAAAGGTGGTTGTAAAAATAACATGGGATAATGCATATTTAGAAATAGTTTTTCAAGCACTCAGTTCCCATAAAAGTGAGTTGTCATTAGGAATTTGGTCTGGAATTTGTTCTTAGTTTTTCACTGGACTTGAGGCTCTAAGACAGTGGTTCTCAACATTGACTGTATACCGTAATCACCCAGAGCATTTGTAAATATTGATGCCTGGGCTCCGCCCATAGAGGTTCGGATTTAATTGATCTGTGGTGCAGCGTGGGCACTGGCACATAATATAGTACAGAGTAAGTGCCCAAAGGCCATTATTGTTATGATGATGATTTTCAGATTGTAACATGAAGCCAGGCTCCACGATCTCCCTAATGACAAGGTACTCAAATTGTCAACATGTCCCTAAGAAGCATGGATCATCCTTGCTGGACCTGATACTTACAGACATCCCATCTCTAAGATATAGTGCTTAGGCTAAAAACCTTAAGTTCTCACTCTTTTTATTGCTTCCTCATATAATTACTAACTTTTGTATAATGCCCTCAAAGGTCAATCTCTAACTCCTAAAATTTTGGGTATGAGGAGAAATGTGTTCTGACTAGGATTTTTATTTCCATTTTCCTATTAAGAAAACAGAAGTGCCAGGGGCGCCTGGGTGGCTCAGTTGGTTAAGCGACTGCCTTCGGCTCAGGTCATGATCCTGGAGTCCCGGGATCGAGTCCCGCATCGGGCTCCCTGCTCA